AAAAAAAAATACATAATTACATGCCAAAATCACTTTAAAAAATAAGAAAATTGTGAAAAATTTCAAAAATCATTTGTGACCCCTAAAAACATATTTTGACTTATTAATTAATTATACACATAATGAACACAAAAACACACAATTTATGATTACAAGCAGGCACTAATCACAAGTTGCAAAAAGTCACAATCACAAAGACACAATTATAAATTTAGTCACAAATTACATGTTTTTATAGGTCAGAAATTATTCATTGGTCATAGATTATTAAACTAACTTGTCATAACTCCACCCCCCTAATGACCCCGTTTCGTCCATTCCTACTTTGAAGCTTCCTTCCCGCCACCCAAATTGTCAAAAATGGATTACACCAATGACTGAATCGTGTCGTTGTCTCCCTCCCTACCTTCAACTGACCTCACACTACATATTGGGGACTAAATAAAACCATTCAATTGGTGATGCTCCTAAGTTGAAACCATAGTGCCATCGCCAAATATAAAGCTTCTCTTTCACCATCCATAATGTTGAGAACGAACTTTACTGTTACAACTCAAGGACCCAATATCACACAAATATTATAGAATATAGAGAACGACCAAGGTAACAAGTTCTTGTAGATTTGGGCTCAGATCAACCTTGTACTGGCCTGTACAAAGGATTAGACTCACAAAGACACAGTCCCAAACTTGACACAGAGGTAGTCACTTCATGGAATGAAAACTCTTAAAAAAAAAAAAAAAAAAAACCAACAGAAACTCTTCCCAAACCGAAACTAAAGAATCACAAAGACTTTACGCGCACAGAATCACCTGAAAACCAGGGGTTTAATGGCTAAAGGAATATATTCACGAAGAAGGGGAAGAGGTAAAGACACTAAGTCTCAAAAAGGAGAGACCCAGAAGGTTCCACAGAAATCTCACGAAGAGGCGCAAGAATAATGACTCAAAAATTAGGGCCAAAAGTCTCAGACCATCTATTTATATTAACAAGTCATCACTGTAGATGTTAGGTTTAGGAGATCAAATGGACCAAAGCAACACACGTGCGTTAGATGGTTTGGGCCGAGTCATAAGAGTCCATCACAATGTGTAATTGGGCAAGGGCTTAAGTAGTATCTGTTGGATCAATTTATCATCATAGCCCAAATGGGCTGGACCACCAAGAAAATGGCATTACAGCATAATAAATCTCCCCCTTGATGCCAATGATCATAAAACACACAAAGAAAATAAATTATAACAATAGGCTTCACAAGCAATTAATTAACTCTTCCAGATCATCAGCACCAAACCAAATACACCTTAGTACCCATATCAGTAGGGTTAAATTGAGTAGGGATTTTCTCAAGCAAAATAGATTCTTTTTGCACAATATTTCTTATAAAATGTATTCTTACATCTATATGTTTAGTTCTTTCATGAAAAACTTGATTTTTACATAACTATATAGCACTTTGACTGTCAGAATAGACAACAACAAGATTAACAGATTCATTTATCTCATTTAGGAGACCTTTTAGCCATAAGGCCTCTTTAATGGCATCAGTAGCAGCCACATATTTAGCCTCTATAGTTGATAAGGCTACAATTGATTGTAATTGAGACTTCCAACTAATGTAAGTGTCACACAAAGTAAACATATATGCTGTAGTTGACTTTCTGTTACTTCTATCACCGGCATAATCAGAATCTACAAATCCCTTTAAACTAACTCCATATCCCTTTAAGCTAACTCCCTCTTTACTAGATCTAAAACATAAGCCTAAGTCTGCTGAGCCTTTTAAGTACCTTAATAACCATTTCATTTCATTCCAATGTTCAGGGCAAGGGTTGGACATAAATCTACTTAAGGTACTTATAGCATGTGCAACATCGGGTCAGGTCCAAACCATGGTGTACGTTACAGATCCCACAGCGTTAGAATATGACACTTTTTCCATATATTTAATGTCATATTCATCATGTCGTGATTGATCTTTACTCAACTTAAAATGACATGCAAGGGGTAATATCATAGATTTAGAATCATACATACAAACTTGATAACGCTTTTTTCACATTATCAATTTGTGACAAAATTAACAATTGCTGTGAGCTATTCCTCTTAATATCCATTTGCTCTAATTCATAATCATATTGTGCAACTAATGCAAGCATGACTCTAATGGTAGTATATTTCACAACAGAAGAAAAGATTTCATTGTAATCAATACTAGGTTTTTGAGTAAACTCCATAGCCACTAATCTGGCTTTAAATTTAAGGGGCTAATTAGGGAGATTGCCTTCTCTAACCGTATAAACCTACTTATAGTCAACTAGAGATTTATTTTTAGGTTTAGGCACTAAGCTCTAGGTCTTATTTTTCACCAAGGACCTCATTTCTTCCTCCATAGCAAGCTGCCATTCCTTAGAAAACTGATAGCTAATAGCCTCTTCATAGGATTTAGGCTCCTTAAAAGTCAAATCATGACAACATAACAAGTGATATATAGTCTTGCATCCTAATGAGCTCTCTTATTTATCTTCTAACCCTATTTCTAGCTAATTGATAATCTCAGTAGGCTCTTGAACAGTTTCATCACTTGATTTTTCACAATCTCATTTTCATCTTGATTTTCAACAAGATCAAGTGAACGTTCAAGTTCCGCCTGTAGCCTAGTATTTTCCTCTTCCTGAACCTTTGGCGCCTCACTAGAGACCTTTCCATCTAAACAAGGCATCTCATTTTCATTGAAGGTCACATTCCTACTGGTTATCATCTTAAAAACCCAATTTCTCTCACCCAAAGCTTGTACCCATTCACTTCTTCAGGATATCCCATGAAAACACATTTCTGGGATCTAAGCTCAAGTTTTCCAACACTTTGGTGTGAATATACTGCACAACTAAAATTTTTTAAGTGTACAGTATAGTCAGCCAACCTACTTGTCCACACTTCCTCAGGTGTCCTACCATCTAATGCACTAGTTGGGGTCCTATTTATAATATAAACTGCTATCATAACATCCTTTTTGTACAACACTTTAGAGACACCTAAACTGAACATCATACATCTAACCTTATCTAGAATTTTCATATTCATCCTCTCAGCTATACCATTCTGTTGTAGAGTATATGGTACTGTTTTATGTCTCAAAATGCCATCATCCTTACACAATTTTTCAAAATCAATATTACAAAATTCTAATCTATTATCTCTCTTTAGAATTTTAATCTTTCTATCCATTTGATTTTCAATCAAAGTTTTCCAAGTCTTAAATTTTTCAGAAGTATCTGATTTTTGTTTTAAAAGAAATACCAATACTTTTCTTGAAAAATCATCAATTAAGGATAAAAAGTACCAATTTCCACCTTGAGAGGTAGTAGATGATGGACCCCACAAGTTAGAATGTATATACTTTAGGATAGATGTAGTCCTATGTTTCTCTGTACAAAAATGAAGTCTATGCTGTTTGTCTAAGGTAAGGGAATTTTAGAAATCACATCACTACCAAAGGCACTCTTCTTACTTAAGATGTGTAAACCTTTCTTATTTAACATATTATGCCATTTCAATGTGGCATCATTCTCAACCATGGAGGACTCTGTAGTGTGACTTAACACATTTGCCTTAGTGACATAGATCCCATTTCTTTTAATACCCTTGAAAATAACTAAAGATCCCTTAACAATTTTAAAGAAACCATCTCCAAATTTTCCTTGGAGACCTATGTCATCTAAGTTCCCAACTGAAAAATCAAATTTCTATTTAAATGTGGTACGTACCTCACCCTTTCTAAGGTAAAGGTGTTCCCATTATCAAATTTTAAAGTCACATTGCCTATCCCCAACACTTTACAGGCTGCATTGTTACCCATAACTACCTTACCTCTATCTAAGTCCTCAAAATCAAGCAACCAATGCTTTCTAGATGTCATATGAAAGGTACAACTTGAATCTAAGATCCACTCTACTCTCTGACTTGAACTATCTACATAATTTGCGAAATTCAAATCAGATGTGAACTCAATCACAACATAGACATCAACAGTACCCTCTCTTAGAGGCTCAATAGTATTCCCTTCATCAATTTTAACCTCTCTTTGCTCATTTTTCCTTTTAAAGCAATCTTTAATGTAATGCTCTGTTTTGCCACAACCATAACATTTTCTAGCTCCATTTCTAGGTTTTGACCTTTGTCTACCCTTCCCTTTCTGCTTAGAGACATTATTCCACTGATTAGGTTGGTTACCCTAATTATTACTTTGTCTAGTCAGTGATTTACCTCTTACAAATAGGTTTTCATTCTCCTTGCCATGTCTCTCAGATTTAACTTTCAATTCTTTGCTTCTTAGAGCATTAATCACTATCTCAGGTGTTAAAGACTCTCTACCATACTTAATAGCAGTCTTAGCATCTTTATAAGCTTCAGGTATGGAATTTAGGAAAATTGCAGCTTTGTATTCTTTAGATACCTTATCCCCAGCATTAGTAATATCTTGTACAAGTTTATTAAAAGTGTCAAGGTTATCATCTAAGTTTCGGGACATGTCAAATTTAAAGTTAAAGAATCTTTCCAAAAGAAATTTTTTATTAGGCAATGACTTAGCCAAATAAAATTCTTCCAATTTTCCCCTAAGGCTTTTGCATTATCCAATTTTCCAACCTTTCTTAATACTTGATCAGATAAGTGAAGAATAATGACAGTATAGGCAAGCTCATCAGATTCAACTTTTTGTTCGCTAGTCACAGTAGTAGGATATTCCTTAAAAAAAAGAAGCCCATCAGGCTTTTTATTCATAAAACCCTCACTTGAGTTGGAGGAAAACTATAGCATCAGTCCATCAATCAATAAAAAATAAAAAATAATCTAATTTCCTATAAATGTAACCAAATAACAAAATCATTCTATCTTTTCTGACGAATGTACAACACGCCCGTCCTATCTGGACGGATCAACCCTCGATAAAGCCTTTGTAGTTCCATACATAATAAGAACCATTCTATCTTCTCCTTTGCACCAAACTTCCCCAACTCATTCGCAACCTGATTAGCTTCCTTGTACTAATGCATGGTGTGAAAGTCAAATTTCCTGAGAAGCTCAATTAGAACTTTCCAAAAATCCCACAAGTACCATAGCGTACATTTCCTTGCCAAAATCCAGGAAACCACCAATAATGAATCACACTCAATATCTAACTGAAATAATCCTAAATCCTGACATAATGTCAATCCATCAATAAGTGCCCTCAACTCCGCTTCATTGTTAGTACCATATCCAAAGAAAGAAGAAAAACCTACTATCAATCTGCCTATATCATCCCTAACAATAACACC